AATGGCTCTTAAAACATGTTCTGGTTCATTTAATCTTATTCTTTTCCATCTCATAAAAAAAAAAACACCAAAGCTTTTAATACTGGTATATAAAATAATACATTATTTAGCTCTTTATATACATTTTAGCCACTATTAAGAGCAGACCGTCTCGCTAACCAGCAGTCCACAGACTGACCAACTTCATCTATCTCCACTCCACCACCAGTTTCAGGCCTTTGGGGGGAAACAGCCCTCTTTTTTACTCCTGTTTATGCACATCCATTGACAAAGTAATTGTATCAATACATTTCTCCTGTCTGTCTTTTCTCTTCTTGTGAGTTTTTCAGATTGAAATAAATAAATAAATCTACCAAAAGCCACAAATCACCATGACAGATTTTCACCTTCCTGCAGAAAACACCACTATAATGTGTATTACTGTAACTTTTAGACATTGATTGTCAAACTAAGCTGAAAAATTTAAAGGAAAAAAATCTTCTTCTAGAATTTATTGGTGGTTGGCAAAGAACTATATGGTGCATTACCGCCACCAACCAGTAAGGAGTGTGGAATCAGGACAAACATGCTAAAAAAAAAACGATATTCTTTTCGCTAAACCTGTCACCAATAAATAATGAAACATAATTCTATAACCTTAATCGTAAGTGCTTTTCCTTAAACTATTTATTAAGACAATACTGCTCTTTTTCCTTTTCAAGACTCCTTATCAGCTGTGTTCTTTGTCTTTGATATTTCCTACAGTTATGCATAACATGTTCTATCGTTTCAGATTCCCCACATACATTGCAGCTTCCTGTTTCATGTTTTCCCATTAACTGTAGTCTTTTTATTATCCTTTCCTGTATTCTGCTCCTCCCAATTTGCCCTCAAACTTCCCCAACCTTCCTTTGTACTCTGTAAAGCCATCTTCCTTTTATAGCTTCTTCCTGCTGTTTTTCCCATTTTTCTTCAATCTTTCTTTTAATAATACTTTTAACCTGTGATTTACTCATGACAACTCTTATATCACCCTTACTTTTGTTTATCAACTCTTTAACTTTCTTATCAGCCATTTCATTATGTGCAAGAACCCAAAGAAACACTACTGTTAACCCCATCATCTGAATATGATATTTGTTGAATTTCTAATAAAATAGCTGGACGGCTTTCTGAATGATTTCTTTGTAAACTGATCAATGAAGAGCTTGAATCTGAACACATAAAAGCTCTTAGTGGTCTCACTTCCTCAATCCATTCTACATCAACTAACAATACAATAATTTCTGCCATATAAGCAGATAATCACTTAATTTCCTCCCTATATGTAGTTTNTTATGTAACTCTTTTGGACGAATCCTCTGAGGTGTTTATGTGTTGCTAAAAGACTTTGGCATAGAGCGTTTCTGAAAACTTAATTATTATTTTTTTTAATGCTGTTTTTACTTTATAGTGCCACTCCAGGTGGAAGGCCAGAACAGAGACCTTCCTAAATAGATCCAGAGATGACTACGTTTAGATACATCACATAACTGTATGAATAATTTACATTTTTAATTGAACTCTAAGTTAAGTGTGTTTTTGTCCTCAAATCCTTTAGATCTTTCTAGATTTTTATCAGAGGAATAATTACCTTTGAAACAGAAAAGCCTAATAAAAGATCTTAAGCAATTCACCGTCCAACAGTTACCAACATTTTACATGATGACACTAAAACAGCTGTTGCCTCGGCGTTCTCTCATGTGTTCATCTATAATTTGAGTCACATCATTTGTATAAATTGTAGGTAAATTGTGAAAATAGAAAAAAGGACAGTGAGCTGCAGCAGGTAGTGTTTCCTGTCTGCATCAAGTGAGCAGGCATTATATTCTGTTTCTGCTGTTTAACAAAAAACAACAAAGAAAACAGGTTATTATGAGAGGGCAAATGACATCATATGACATTACAAGATGACAGGTTCCACAACATGGTTAAACAAGATGAGGAGAAAAACTCATGATCTACAGTGCATTGACACAACATATGGATCTGATATAGACACATAAACCCACCACATATACAGCTTCCTGTACAAAAACACATCAGACACACACCTTATATAGATACAAGGACATGTGAAAACATTGGAAATATTTTTGGCACCAAAACAACCCAGAACATTACAGGAGCAGGACTTTAAACATGTGATCTACAGTAATTAGACCAACATGGTCTAGACCATCCTGTGTTTTCCTTTAGCTTCCATCATTTTCTCTGCTGTAGCTTTTTGGTTGAACAAGAGTTCCTGTGTTTAGTTGAAGGATTGGAGAAAATGTTCAGAGGATCTTTATTCTCTGTGAGAATGAACTCATCTTTGGATGATTTTAATCTATTGGAGATCTTCATCATGTTTCTCCATATAACTGACTGAGGAACAAATGCTGCCAATCCCAGAGCTGATCTCAGACTGCCTCACTCTCTTAGCAAGCCATTCAGCAACGTTGTTATGAGCTTGTTGGTTCCTATTCTCTGAAATGCTCCCATATTCTGAGGAAACATCTCCGCTCACTGAAACAGAAGAAAAAAAAAATTATTTTAAGAAAAAAAACATGGATGGAGCCAAAGGTTGTGGAAACTCGGAGGTTGGTTCTTCGTCATTTAATACTTACTGTCTGGAATCATAAAGTCATCCTTGCTTCTTGCCACCTCCACAGAGGGCACTGTTGGTTTCTCTGGTTCCTTTGCTAAAGCTTTCATCATTCTCTCCATCAGCTCCTGCTCCCGTCTGTTCCACTCCTTTTCTGTCAGGATGCGTTGTTTTTCTTGAAAAGGTAGAAACTGAAATTTCTTTCTTTTTCCATCAG